ATATATATATATATATATAAAGTGAAACAATGTCCGATCATGAGAATATATTCCACAATACAATCATCATTGTTAGTTTCAATCCACTCTACAATAGCTACAGATATTTTAGTGCCCAAATCCATCTCCAATAAAGTATTATCCAGATTTATATCAAATGGATCTACGGGTAAGAGATCTAAGGGATCATAAGAACAATTGCTTTCATGTAAAGTCAGCCATAGAAATGGGTATTAGAGAGCATCTCAATTGCATGGCATGAACTACGACAAGAGAATAAGCCAACCACTGTTCATTCTCAACGCCAATATCCATTTATAGTGTCACATTCCAAAAAAAAAACTTTGCATTCAAATGTATTCGTAAAGCCCTCGGTTAAGAAAGCAACCATCTGAACATCACAAATTTTTTTTTCTTAAAGACATTTTGTCAAACACTTACTGTGCAATATTTATAAGGTTACATAAAACAAGCCAACATGAGAGTTTGATTTACACACCTATTCCAGTGGAATCTTCTAAATAATTTGCATAATACTTTCATGATGCATACAATAATCATTTCAACAAAAGAATACATGTGCATTCCTATGGAAAAGGAACCAAAGGGAATGCCACTCTCAGATTTTTGCAAAGAACTCAAGAGCTATTCCTCCTTTTTTTAAACAACCACTCATTTTTTCTCTACTTGCCGTAAGTTCAAGTAATACATTACAAATCTTGCATACTTCTCTCTTAGACCAGGTTAATGGGAGAATTCTGGTTCGACACAGATGATATCTTCATATAAGATTTCAGCATTAATAACATCATCTTGATGAGGTCTTTCATCACACAACCGGCATACAATATGCATATGTAAAGTGAACAGAGAATAGATTTCATGAAGAAATAAGTTTCATAGACTAATCAAACAAATTTTCATAAATAGATAAGAGCAAGTTTCAGATGCTAATATTTTCTTTGCAAATTTTTTAGCAATGAAATCGGAAGAAGGATGGGGATGAAGGAGATGGGAAGAAGAAGAAGAGAACAACGAGTAGGAAAGAATAGTGGAGAAGAAGATATAGAGTAAGACAAGAACCATGAAAGAAAGGGATCACCTGTACGAGAGTAGCTTCAACGTCGGACAGGGAGACTTGGGCTCGGGAACTCGTCGAGTCCAAAAGGAAGATCGGGACTAGCCCGGACGGCGTCGGCTTCGGCTCGGATGTGCAAAGCCGGGGACGTTCAGGTCAGACGAGCTTCGGCCTGCACCGGCTGTCGAGGGAGTCGGTCGAGAGAGAAGAAGAAGCTGCCGTCGGACAAGGCGACGGGTCCGACGTCGCTTGGAGCTCGCGACCAAGGAGGAATGGGCGAGGCCGGCATCGGGCTTTCCCCTAGAGCTCGCGAACGGAGGCGTGGGGGCTCCGATCTCCTGCAGTGAGACCGGCGGCTAGGGCCGGTTGGTGGGCTCTCGGTCCGGTCTTGAACAGACGAGCGACAGAGGGGAGAGCGGGGGCTTCGACCTTGGAAGAGAGAGCGACCGAGAGAGAGAGAGAGTGCCGGCTTCTGGACTCAGACAGAGGCAAGAACGATGGGAGCAGGAGCTCGGCCTGGCTCCTCTTGCGAACAGAAGGAGAGATCGGGAGAAGGGATTTTTTTTTTGTTTAGGAACGAGCCACCGAGAGCAAGAGGGAGAGAGTTCGGATCAGCCAACCGAAGGCTTCCTACCAGCCTTCTAACGTCTCCCGTCCGAAAGCTCAGAACGGAACTGCGACATTCTGATCTCTCCTAAAGTTGTTCGAATCAACTGCTCATTCGAGGGCTCACGCGACCGAAGCTTGCAGCCGCGACAGGATTTGAATTTCAAGAAATCTAAACCGTCGAAAAAATTTCATGATCTAGGAAATGAGTTTGAATCACTTAGAAAGTCAAATAGATTTAAATTGAGATTAAATTGAGCTGGCTTGGATTAAACAAGAGTTCAAATCGAATCTAACTTGATTCGGGTTGGATTGATTTGGGCTCGATTTGAGTTAGATTTGGATAGGGATTTGATTCAAATTGACTTGATTTAAAAGGGGATTAGGCTCAATCGATTTGATCAAATAAAATCAAAGATGATTCGGGTCAAATTGAACTCGTCGCAGTCAAAACAAATTGTTCGGGCTCGAATGAACGGGGTTGAGTCAAATTAACATCAATTCGGATCGATTCGAGTTTAGATGGGACTCGACGAGGTCCAATTAAGTCGATCGAAAGTGCTCGAGCGAAAATAGAGGTCAACATTCACGTTTGCTTTTTATTCTTTTTATCATGTTCAAGCCAAACTTAGGCTTGTGTAAATATAGATGATAGTGATCAAGACACAACTCCTTATTGAAAATAAATTTATTCGTGGTTTTTCATAAAAGCATTATGTATTTGTCATTTTTTACTTAAAGTAAAATGCTAATAGAAAATTCTAAACTAAATTAAAATATTTAAGGATTTTCTCAACATATGGTTTCTTTCTACTTTATACCATGATTCTTTCTACATTTCAAGTGCCTAAGCTTGAAATAATTTTCTTTCCGAAGCATGAAATGAATTCGTGACTAGGATGCTAAAAATGAATTAAAATGCATTTTATTGAACAATTAGTCACTAAAAATGAATTAAAATGCATTTTATTGATCTAATTGTTGAACAACAAACAGGTCCACAAACATACATAAACAAATAAATCTTTTTTCAAACTTCTTTATCGACTATTAAACCACTGTTCACTAAACTTAAATTATTTGAAAAATACAAGATTGTGACATTTATGTTGCCCTTTCAATCACTTGCTTGATTTGTCCGTTGCAAAAGTTTAGAAGTCTAAAGTACTTGTGGTTGTTCCAATTGAAATGTTCTATTAACTTGGATTTGTTTCATCAACGAGGTTGTTATTTTCTAATAGAATTCCTAACAGATACTGATGAGGCAAATTGAATCCTCCTGATTCTTTTGTTTTGTTTTGTTTTTTTTTTTTTTTTTAATTTGATTGCAGGATGCAGACATCATGTGGTTCCGAAATCCACTCTCACGATTCTTTCCTGATGGAGATTTTCAGATAGCATGTGATCAATTTAATGGCAATCCTTATGATCGACACAACAGACCAAATGGTGGATTTAATTATGTAAAATCTAGCAATCGTACAATTAAATTTTACAAATTTTGGTACACATCTCGAGTAAAACACCCTGAATTACATGACCAGGATGTGCTTAACATTATCAAATTCGATCCATTTATAGATGAAATAGGATTGAAAATGAGGTTTTTGAGCACTGCCTTTTTTGGCGGAATATGTCAGCCAAGCAGAGATTTTAATTTAGTCTGCACGATGCATGCAAATTGTTGTATTGGTCTGAATAGGAAGATCAACGACTTGAGTGTTATGCTTGAGGATTGGAGGAGCTACATGGCTCTTCCAACAGCTTTAAAAACAGCCAAAATGCCAGTCTGGAGGGTACCACAGAATTGTAGGTAAGACATTCTACATTTGATATGATATTGGTAACTTCTTTTATTGAGAGTTCTACAATTTAGTATCATGAAATTTGGAACAAATAATTCTTTTCAAGTCATGTAGCTCTTTAATGTTTTGTTTTATGTGTAGTCCGTTGATTAAAATAAGGGGTCATGAATCATTAGATGTATTTGCGTCAAACACATTTTTGCTGGACGTTTGAGTTTCAAGTTCATGTTGCATTAAATCAAGCAACTAATATTATACTTTTTTACCCACTGTTGCTTAGCTTGGTTGGTGGGCGAGTACAGTTGGGTACCCCCAACCTGTGCTTGATTCCCCTTGAGCGGCAGCGTCTCTTAAGTGGGGCCCAATCAAGTGCGGGTGATGCGGGACTACCATGTGTTAAATGGATGCGTTAAGAATTTCACGATTTCTTGAATAAGCAAGTAAGATTAAAAACTATTAGCAATTAAAATGACAATAGAAAACAAGAGAGGGGTGCCTACGTTTAGGCCAAGCCACTTGCCAAACACTTGGAATATCAAAACAAGTTAAAAACTCAATAACATGCAAAGTAAGTAGCTTCAATAAAATCCCTAATCTAACAATAAGATAGTAACATGGAAGATGCGCTCAATCCTATGTTTACTAAGCTGAAGCATAAGATGAAACACGGCTCTTTGCGACTCGTCACCACCTACAAAGTTAGTGGATTAGGAAAGTAAATGAAAAGGGGAAGATGTTCACCCTTGGGAAGGTTTGGAGATGATTTGCCACTGGGCGCAGGCAAGTTGCTCGTCGATAGCCTCCGATAGCGTAAAAATAATGCGGTCCACGTACTCTTTGATGGAACGATCAATTTCTGGGTTGAAATTGAAGACGGCGGAGTGAAGAATATTAATGTATCCTTGCTCGTTGTAAGCGAATCCGTAGTCAAGCTCCAGATCGGCCATTGTGGGCTCCGAAAATTAGGCCCAGGCCTCCGCCCGATTGTTGCTTTTTTTTTGTGGGGGGGGGGGGGGGTTTTAAGGTTGGGGGGGGGGGGGGAGTTTTAACGGATTAAGTTCCAGGATAAATCTTGGGAAGGAAAATGGGTTTGTAGATAAGACACTACCTAGAGATTTCGCCCTCATTTTTTTAGGACTTTATGATATGAGTTCTGGTTTCCTATAGGCGCAAGCCCCTATAGTTAATTACTCCTCCCGATAACGAGAGAAAACTTTCGATTAAAGCTAGTCATCAATCAGATACATTACATCTGTAGATACGTATTATCAGGTGTATAATAGCATCATGGGTTTGGAATTGGAAGTTTGAAGGGTTTTGATATTGGAATTCCATGGTTTGATATTTAAAATAGAAATTTTAACCATCTTGCACTTAAAGCGGATGGTGGGGGAATGGATGATAGAACCGATCAAGATCCCATGGTTCCGTCGTCCCGGGCCATTGTGGCCCCTAGTCTACTTAGTTAGAGGAGGTAGTTGACCCAACCTGACAGAAGGATCATTGTCGGCAATCATGGGTTACTTCATCCAAGGGGACGTAGACTTGGGGTGGGTATTTATCTAAGGGGACAAATTTGAATCCATCTTAGCTAACAGAGGGCTTTATGCCCTATCGATCATATCCTATTGATTCATATCTCAATGATATGATGCCACTAAGGAACGTATTGACTCTGGCCATAATCGATATTTTGTGGTGCCATTTGGCGGCAAAATCACTCGGTTCAGAGTGCCCCGGGTCATAACCGTTTATCCTGCGGTGCCATTTGGCGGCAAAACCGCCAGTCAGAGGACACGTACCACGTCCTTATTGGCAGGAGACTATTTGAGAATGGATCCTAGTGATATTTCGACTAGGCATTAGCTCTTTGTGAGCTGAAGTAGTTTTTAATTTGTTCACCTCGGCAAACTATTGCGGAGGGTGGATGGATTTTGCTTCAAATGTTTGATAATGTTGAATTTCAATTTTAAATATTCTTGAATTTTCGGAATTTTGAGATGTTTTGATTTTCGGGCATTAAATTTCATAGGTATTTGAGTGGTATTTTGAAATTATTTGTAAACCTCTCATGTTGAGATCTTCATTCAACACGGGCATCATCGGGGTGTTTGGGATAATTTTCATTTGATTAAACCTTGTCGACCCTATCAATTTGTCGATAGGGGATCGGGTTTCGTAGACTTTACGCCTTTGTTCGTGAATTTTCTTTGTTATAGGCTTTGAAGGCCTAATATGAATGTATTAAGACAAATATACCGGTCGCCACCACCATATATTTATTTGATGGTTCGAACCTTGTCAACTCCTATTGATCCTCATAGAAGAACCGGGTTCGAATTTGAATTCACTTATCAATACGCGCAGCATCCCTAGACGACATTTGTGTACCAATAACACGCTCGCCGGGGCCCATGTGGGTGTTTTGTAATTGTACTTACCCCTTTGTGTACCTATGTGTATATAAACTACGGTGCACGTGCAGGGGTATTTTTGGACATTTGACGGATCTTCTATGAGAGCTCGTAGGAACTTGTACTTGTCGTAGCCCTTTCACCATTTGCCTATGGGTGGTGTGTTAGATGTACAACCATTATTCCTCGAGGGACTTGCAAACCTCGATAATCTTATCCAACCAACATTCAATATATGGTTGAACTGAGATTCACTTACTCCATAACGACTGGATCTGGTTTTCTCTTCCCAAAATTCGTATGAGAACCAACAAGTAACTCCCCAATATGCCATCACCATCATTTTATGTTGTTGGCTTATATAAAGAATCAATTTTTTCAACCTTAGATGATTGTGCCCTTGTTGACGTCAAAATGTTTATACAAAAAAATGATCGTTGTAGCTCTTGACGTAGTTAGAGTAGCGTATGTACTTTTAACTTGCAGTTGTGGGTTTAAATTACCAGGATTTACATTGACCTTTAATAGCACATTTGTCAAACATTGATCATTAATTCTGGTAGGTGCCATACAATGTATGTTGACATTCATTTTAACACATCTAGATGTGTCAATCCTTTGCAACCGTCCATGTTGAATGTGGCACGGGTCTCCTACAGTGTCATTGAATCCTTCTGCGTATGGGGTTTAAATGTATCTGCTCGCCATCGTATTGCTATGCGAATGTTATAGTATTGGTTACGCGCTCCCATATATACATACAAAGAACACTTTCGACTGTAGGCAAATTTACTGTATTCTTCTACAAGTCAACTTTCTTTATTTCCAGAGAACTATTGCGCTCCTTCACGAATGGATTGACATTAATTGTAGGGGTGTCCCAATATTCATCATATATTGCAATGAACCTGTTGGTAAAAGACCACATTGTTTGTAAGTATTGTTGTATCTTTTGCATAAATTATACAAACATCACATGCTAATCATCCTCCATATGCGGTTTGCCCCACTGTCAAAAAGACTTCGCATCCCTTCATATGTATTGGCTAATGAATCATTGGATCCTTTATTGCCTCTGAACATAGTTTGTATCTTGTGTGATAACTTTCTTCATTGATATTTGTATATTGATTGACATGTTGATCCCTTGACACTTCAACGTGATTCCTTATTGTTGATTATAGACATATCATTGCATTCTCCATTCAATCTTTACTTGCATGGTCAATGCTTAAGGATGAGAACTAGAGAATTTATTCATCCTCTAGCATTGCTTGTAATCACTCATTTATAGGTGATTATTGTTTAGTGATATTTGCATTCTAATTGGCATAAAGGTTCTTCAACATTTATTCGCAAGCTTCATATTTTGATTGCAAACCCATTGGTTGGAATGTCACTGTATTTGTCACACATCTTCTACCTCTATTCATAAGAATGTCAAATGTTTCCATAAAGAATTCCTTCTTCGTAGTGCCTTGCACATTGTTTGTAGACAAATTATGATTCCAAGTCCCTTATCTCCTTTCATGGTTTGTAGCATGTAGAATGATTTTTCATAAGTATCTCATTTATCCACGAGCAAATCATGTTCATTTGAAATATTGGCATGAATCCTTGCATATTTGCTTGAGTACAAATATTCAAATCATGCTTGATGTGCAATCAAGTCCAACTTGAGTTCAAGTTCAAGTGTAGTTTCTTTATAGTTTATTTAAGTTTTAGCTCTCTTGTATATGATTCAATTAAGTTCAAATTATGTTCCAAGGTCCACAAGTTCTTTGTATTTGTTCAAGTCGGAGTTCATGAGTCCTTGTTCAGTCAGAGTCCAAGTTCAATCATAGTTATTCGTAGTTCAAGCGAATTCAAGTTTTGTGTAGTTCAAAGTTGACCCAAGTCATTATGATTCATTTAAGCTCATATTAATTTAGATTTGAATTTATTTAAGTCAATTATGTCCAGTTCACAAGTCCTCGTTGTCTTTTGAGCTCAATCAAGTCCAGGTATGATCTTGTGTTCACCCGAAATTCCGGCAGCCTCCCGGCGTCTCCCCCATTTAGGGGAAAACTACGAGAGACTGAGCCTTCTCACCACGCGCAATAAAGGAGTGTATGGTAGGTGTCCTCGGACGAGGACACCGCGGACGTGAACTTCACTCTCACCACGCGCAATAAAGGTGTGTATGGGGTCTTCGACGGTACATATTTAAAATGACAGTTTGCTTTCCTCTCGCTCGAGGGTACTTATAAATAACCCCGTCTCGCTGTAGGTGCCACACCGGGGTCCTATCCCACCACGCGCAATAAAGGCGTGTATAGGCGGTTTTCCGTTGCGCCAAAAACATTAATAATAATTATTATTATAAATAAAAATAAAAATAAAATCCCCCCTTCCCCATCAAATTTAGGGATTTACAGGTTTTGGCCGAAGAAGAGCGCGAATGGGAGAAGGTTACCCTCATGCGAGCGAGCTCTTGTTATTGCTTCAGGTTAAAATGTCGTAACTTCTGTTCCGACGGAAAGGGAACGTCGAAGGAGGCGGAGAAGGGCTTGGGTTCGGCGAGATATTGGTCGAATGGGGGGCTACGGGTCGTATGGCTGCGGCTTGGTGGAGATCGGAGGAGGCGACGAGTAGTGGAGGCTTCGAGTTGAGGGATCTCGGCAAGGTAGGGCTCTCTCCTCTCTCTCTCTCTGTCTTTCTCTCTCTCTTTGGGCCAAAGAAGCAACGGGGTCGGGATGGGGTTGTCGGCTTCAGTGGAGATCGGGAGGTGTTCGCGGCTTGTGGAGGTTTGCGGAAGAAGAGCAGTTGGCAGTGGGTAGCGAATGGGGAAGCAACGCCAAATGCTTGCTCTCAGCTCCCTTTTATAGACCGAGTGCAGCGGCGTCGAGGCGAGCAAATCCTGAAACGACGCTGAAGGAACAGTGATCTAGCGGGATTTCTTGCAGCATTTTTGCAAGATTTTGGGGACTTGACGGAGCAGAGGTATGCGTATATTTTTTTTTTGCTTCCCTTAGGTACTATATAGGGGTCAACAACCATTCATAGGTTTTAGAAGAAGGTTGTGTTGAAGATCAATGTCAATCCTTTGAATCCTCGCTAGAGAGAAAGAAGTTTCTCTCGAACTTGAAGTGGAGAGGATGGAGGGGTGGCTAGCCAAGGGAGGAGGGAGAGGGATTTAATTTGGTTTTGATTTGGGAGGAGAGAAAATGTTTCCAAACAATCTCTAATTAGTCCCTATGTTTGGGAATAAATAAAGAAGTGAGAGAGAGGGTAGGTGCGGCGGCAAGAGAGAGGTGGGGATGAGGGATTTGTTTCAAAAATTTAATGTTAGGTTTTGGAAAGTAATTAGGAGTTGTGGGGCTTTGGAATTTTTTGCCAAGGAGGGAGCATGAGAGGTTTGAATTAATTCCAAAAAGGGGGATGGGCTTTAGGAAATAAATCCAAAGCAATTAAGGAGGTAGGGGCCGGCGGCTTAATGGGATTGGGAGAGATTTGGGGAGGGATTTGGGGTTGCTTAGTTTGAGATTTAGGAATTAGGAAAGAAATAATTAAATCCCCTTTAATTTGAAATTCAAAAGGGGTTAATTAGGTAATTTTCCTAAAATAGGTTTTCTAAATTAGGAAAGGATTTCAAATTCAAAGAAGTTTGAATTTTGAAATTAATTCTTCCCAACTTAAGAGTGGATGATTATGGAAAGTAATCAAGAGGTAGTTGAGTTTGTTAAGAGAGTTGCTATTTGCATGTTTTACATTCTTGCAACTTGTATTATTTTGATGATTTCAATTATTATTGTTTTATGTATATATATCTCCTAACACTTTTTGGAAGATTTGTTTTTGCTCTAGTGTGTACTAACATTTCAGGAAAATCAACTCCAAGCTATGAAAACTTCAAATCAAATTTAGGAAATATTCATTTGTAAATTATAAGTTTTGAATTGAGAGGAAGTGATTGTAATTGAGTAAAAAATCACAACACACACACTTGGGGGAACAATTTTTGTGAACTGATCGTACGGGACGGACCCAGTTCGTACGAGACGATCATGTCAATTAAGCCCTCGGAAGAGCAATGGATCGAACAGGCAGGGAGAAAATTTTTCTAAGTCCTAATCGTCCAGGACGAATTTAATATTCGTCCCGGGACGAACGTCTCGGGATTCTCACTTTGCACTGTTCGTCCAGACGAAATGCATGGTTCGTTTATGGACGAAATTCTCTGTATAAAATCGTACAGGACGAAATTAACCTTCGTCTCTGGATGAAACTCTCTGTATACAATCGTCCAGGACGAAACTTGTTCGTCCCAGGACGAACTGAACCGACTTACCCAGTTGGTTACGTCCTGCAGGGATTTGGGAACCGACCTATGCAATAACCGTTTCGTACCGTACGAATCTAGTTCGTACAGGACGATAAGCGTGTACGAACATAGTTCGTACCAATATACATCAGGATCGTTTCCGACACTTTAAGTAAAATCGTCCGGGACGATCCACGATCGTACGGGACGATCCATTTCGTGATCACTTGAAAATTTTGCAGTTTTGGACGGTTTTTCTTGTCTCTCCTATATAAGGTCCAATTTTTACTGCCACCAAATCTTTTTGCTGATTGATCTTCGTGCTTATTGGAAGAAGAGTCAAGGAGAGAGTGTGAGAGAGCATTCAAAGGATGATTCCTACCACTGGAGCGTGAAGTCTACGCTTGATGTTCAAAGGTAAGATTTCCTACTTGTGATTTGAGATTACTTCACTCTTTTCTTTCTTCCTTCTAGATTTCTTGTGAGGAGATCTGTCAAGGAGATCGGGTTCTCTGCCCACACTAGGAGAGTGTGAAAGGACGAAGGGTTCTCTGCCAACACTAGGAGGGTGTGAAAGGACGAAGGGTTCTCTGCTCACACTAGGAGAGTGTGAAAGGGCGGACGGTTCTCTGTCAACACTAGGGATAGTGTAAAAGGACGACGGTTCTCTGCCGCACCGGGTAGTGGTGGAAAGAGTGTTTGTAAAGGCTTCTCCGCCTTGTTGTGGGTGCAAAAGGAGAGACACTCTGGGGAGTGGATGTAGGTCTGGTTTAGACCGAACCACTATAAATCTTGTGTCGTTTATTTTTACTGCTTTTTATTTTCTGCATTTTTTTGTTTAAAAAATTGTGGTTGAAAATTTTTTTATTAAAGTTTATTTTCGGTTCAACTTATCTAAAAGAGGGATAATTTTTAAAATACCAATTCACCCTCCCTCTTAGTAGCTTTGGGACATTAACTTAGGTTTAACAACATATTCACTAGACTTAACAGAGTTGTGGAGGGAAAATGTGGGAGGTGGGAGTGGTCGGCGGCTATGTGGGTGTTTATTGACCGGCGGCTTAGGGTTTGGTGTAACCTTAGGCCGGCGGCTAGATGAGGAAGAGAGAAAGACAATTCGATAAAAAGAAAAATCACGAACCCGACCATCTCCAAGGTTGGTGTGTGATCCAAATTCTTATCATTCAATCATTAACTTTCAAAGAGAAACATAGGGGCTATGAATAGCCTCGTACAAAGGACTCAAAATAAGAAAGACGATAATACCCGAAGGGCTTACAAACGATCTCCCTTAAGCAAGGGGTAAAAACGAAAAACAACTACAACATAATAAAAGATAAATAACATAATAATAAAAGAAAACAAATACATTAAATGACTCAAAAATACATTGACTCAATCTTGGTCGTAGTTCGACGACCACGCCTCTGACATACTTTCCATGCTTTGATGTCCCCATCAGCGGGCTAGTAGGTTTCTGGGGTGTGTGCCTCTTCTAGGTCAGTAGAGGATTCGTCATGCCCCCAAGCGCCCTTTCGGGGGTGGCAGCGGGTGGATACCCCGTTTCCAAAGAAAAAAAAAAACCTTTTCATGCTCTTTTCTAGAAATAATTCTTAAATACATTTGAGCTGTTGGTTTAAATGTTGCATCATCCCTTATTATTATTATTCTATTTACCTTTGTATGCTAGTCTCCTTCAACTACTATTCCAAAGACATTTGAGCAACTGGATTAGAGGGTGCATCAGCCCTTTTTGTTTAATTTTATTTTTTATATTATATTTTCCATTATACGCAGACTCCAACTAATATTTTTTCTTTCTTCTGTTTCAGTCTAAAACCACTTCATTAGTAGATTTTACCTATAGATTGCGGCTTGAAGAACATAATTTGGCATCTTACAGATTATGTTGTAAATACTCTCAGGCATTGGCTGCTAGAGCTTAAGTTGTAAAGGTATGTTCTAATAAGCCAAAGTTCACAATTAACTCTGTTATGAACTAATTATCATAGTTCTATAATATTATTTGTTATCTATACGGTTGCACTTTCAAATTTCTGTTGAAGATGGCTTACTGTTCTCCCTCTTTAAAATACTAGAACTTCTTGTCTCCATAATACCAGTGTTGGTTTCAACCAGTGCATCAAATCATACATATCTAGAGATTTTTTTAGTATGCCAGCATAAACATTCAGATTTATGGTATAACTTCTGTTTCTTTTTAGTTTCTGATATATCATCCTAAATATGTAGATCTGAATGATATATTGCTCTTTAACCATCTTTTACTTTATATAAGTTAATGGTGAAGTCCACAACTTTAATGGAGTGAGAAAATACAAACATGGGATTGTGTACTCCTTTACAATGGAGCCAAAGTTAGCGATGGATTTTATTCCTTTTAGGCTTCATTTGGGACGACTTTCTGCTTCTTTCTAAAGCAGCTTTCTAGTTCAACAAATTTTTTAACTAAAAAGTTGCTTTAGAAAAACAGTAAGAAAAACATCCCAAACAAAATCTTAATCATTATGTGCTAAAATCAATCACGTTTGAATTCACTCCGCGCTACAATTTATTTGTATTAAAAATATTTTCATCCATTAAGATTGAGTTATCATTTGATCTATAGTCAAATGAGATATTCTTTTGACTTTTATATTAATTTACTGTTCATGTAAAGCATTAAATAGAATACTCTTACAAGTTAATACAACATTCTCTTATATTAGCATCAACTATTAAAACCATCTGATATTTCCCTTCATTATTGCAGATTCTTGTTTCTTCATCCTACCTTTTTAGAGTAAGCTGATCCACTTCTTCATCCAAAGCTAAGCCTATATGTTACTGTGGCCATTGGTACAACTTGATTCAGGCTTCGCTTGGGACGACTTTCTTACTACTTCGTAAAGCAGCTTTCTAGTACAAATTTTTTATTTTTTGTACTAAAAAGTCATTTTAAGAAGCAGAAAGAAAGCCGTTCCAAACGAGGCCTCAATATATGGGCAGCAAGCCCATAATGTTGAACTAGTATCTGTACATAGCGGGCGATAAAGAAAACTATTTTGCTTAAGCAAACATCAATTTTTTAAATGTTGTTGTTGTTGGTTGTATTTTACATGCTTAAATGAAACATTTTGATTGTGTTTTTCCTTTGTTTTTTTCTAAGGTATGTCTTCTATATCTTTGGTCAATGAAAGGTCCCCTTCGCTTCTAATGGGTCGTTCTTTTATTTTATTTAGTATTATGCTACTATATTCTTTTTGTTTTTGGACGTTTTAGCGAAATAAATTTTAACTCACACACATATCACATACGTAAGTTTTGAACTGAAGTTAATGAAGTATCGTATGATTTCCATTTAATAACTTTTAATTTCTAATTTTGCTTCTTGTTTAAGTTTCAACCAATTTATTTTGCATATCATTTGTGACTTCATTAGTTGAGCAAAGGATTTCTATGAAGAGCAATGATCGTAAAATAGCTTTGGGGAATGATTTTAATGCTCCAAATAGAGAAAATTTGACTTAATTAGCCTTGATTTGACCAAATAAGGCTTGGTTTGATCAGGTCAATGGTTGACCTGATCAATTTAGTCAATTAAGTGGAAGGGAAGAGGGATCTGGTCAAAGAAGGTTTGAAATTGGTTTGAAATTAATTTGGGCTCAAAATGGCCAATTGGGTCAACCTGGGTTGACCTGGTCAACAAGGTTGATCCAGGGCACAAGTCTGAGCCCAATGGATTGAGTCTGACCCACTGAGTCCAGTGGAGGGAGGAATTGAGCTTGAGAAGCATTGAATTGGATTTGAAATCAAAAGCAAGCATTTGGGTCGACCCAGCTTGAGAAGCGTGGAGGGTGGTCTGCCTACTTGCTGCAAATGTCGGGAGTGAGATTTTTTTAATTTAGAGAATTATACATGATCGATGTAGACGATGTCGGGGTGGAGGGCACGAAGATTGAGAACAATTAACTCTCTCATTTTTTTTTTCATTTTTTTTGAAGCTTTTTTTAATAAATTATATATATAATAATAAGTATTATTAGTACTGATAATAAAAAAAAAATAAAAAGATGGTAATAATTTTCCCAGCGAGGGGATATGAGTGGGAAATCGGCATAGTGGCTAATGCGTCAGCTGGATTGTGGATTTCAGATAGTTAAGAGGTTCGGTCGCTTTGGTGAGGGGATTAGAGAGAGCTGCGGCTTGAGGAGGTCGAGTCTAGATCGGCAAGTGGAAAGAGGCGGCTGGAGTGCTCTGCGCGCGAGCAGAGAGGAGGAAGGGTTGGCTTCGTGTGATCGGTCGTGAGGAAGGCCGGGATTTGCGGTAAGGGCTGCTTAGGGTTGACGGGATTTGAAGTGGGTGACAGACGACTGAGGTGTAATCGGAACTGGAGGGGATCCGGTTTGATAAGAAGACGAGGTCGAAGGGTCTTCGATCGAGAGACGGGTTCTGGAGGGATCTTCGAATGGCTGCGAGGGTCAGTTTGCTGGGCGTCGGATGGGAGGTTACAGCTGTTCGTGGGTTTCAACAGTGAGGGTAAAGAAGTTAGATCGGGAGGCTCTTCGCGTGTCGAAGCGGCGAAAAATAGCAGAAACGAACACTTCGTTTCACCCTCAATCGACGAGCTGCCCTTGCGTGATTTATGCAGGGATTCCGGAATTAGAGGCGAACGGCGCCGAGTGTGAAGTTCTTAGACTTTTCGACAACAACATGAGAGAGAGTAGTGAAAATCTCTTATTAGGTGGTGATGTGTGTTATTGACGCTGAACTACTACAAATTGGTTTGCACTTCTATTATTTTATGCAAAAATTATTGTGATACTTTTTTTTTTGTCAAACAGCTTTGGGTATATGATGGAGCATCAAGTTTCCCTTCTTATCAAATAAATAATATACTTAAAGTTTCATCAACAACATACCTTGTTCATCTTTCATTTTCTGTGAATAATTACAGAGTACCGCATCAGGCGACACAGTTTTTCGATCAGTAAAACGTGGCGTTTGTGCTAATTCTACATAACAGTTAGTTTAATTTTGCAAAATAACTTGTATTGATTGTGGATCAAATCTCCTCTCCATTTCTGTACTGATCATGGCGTACGTATCAGTTGAAGAGCTCAGTTGTTTTTTCTCGCATTTTTTCAAACCAGATACAATAACAAGAAGAGAAGAACTATACAAAATACTTGCCTTGTTCAAGGTGGGATATTGGTCACTCTCTTGAGCTCATTCTCAGGCTATTCCGCATTGTCCTCCTCCCAATCCCCATGTTTCCAACATTTCCCTTCCGCATCATTGCAACAAATTCACCATAGTCGATCCGGCCATCCTACAGAAGAAATGACAATTGGAAACTTTGAAGCAAATGACGCAGTAAAGATATCTGGAGGACTGTTAAAATATTTAGTTATATTGGAAATGCATAGAAATCCGTGGACCTAGCCGTCCCATGGTCTTTTAATCCCCGGCTAGGATGAGAATCCGTAGGAGGCTCACTTGTTAAATCCCAGCCGTCCCTTGGCATTTGTCAAGCGTAAAGCGCAGTCAAAAGCGCAATCAAAGCACAATCAACGTGACAAATTTTAATTGAATATTCGGCCCTAAAAATTTAGGTATGATGTTCGGACTTAATAATTTTCCCTAGTTATGGGGCTTATAATAGCCAAGCTCTCACTTCGAGCAGAAATAGGTGTAAGATTTATCCATTAGGTGTGAAGAAGAGAGGGAAATGAGTCATTATAAGACCTCTTATTTAGTAGTCAAAGCTCCTAGCTAACAAATATATTTCATCTATGAATACTAGATTTCACTTCATTGAAAACTTCCCCTAAACATAACAACAATGTCTATTAATAGATTAATGATTGGGCCATTTTGATCATCTGTTTATGAATTATAAATCTCCATTGCCATAATTCATTTTTATATATTTCAAACCTCTGAGTATTTTACTCAAAATTAAGCGACTTATTCTCACCAGATTCATCTAATTGAGATGCTCATTTTAATTATAATCACATAAAATTAAGAGGATCTTCAACCCTCTTAAATGACCTAAAAAATTCAAAATTTTATTTTAAATAATAGATTTACACCCTAAACTCAAATCCAAACATCTTGACATTGTTGAGTTTGAATTCTTCAACCTCACTATCTCAATTATAAATTTATCAAAAATAAGCTCGAATAATCTCATAATCTAAGTAAATCCTCTAAAAAATTGACCTAAATATTCAGATGCTTTGAGATCAAGAAATTTCATCAAAATTCAAATTTGATTATATATATTTATTGCAAATGCATCAAGCAATAATCTTACCAGCATACAATTGCTTCTAAGAGGCCAAACTTAGAACGATGTATCAATTATCTTTGCTGTTATTTAAAGAAAAAAAATTCCACAATAAAAATATAAATCTATATAATAAAATGATGACCAGAATTTCTTCCAACAGAACCCATATGGTAGCGCTGTATGCTTTTGTTTCTTCCTTCACTGCACAGAAAATGATTACAGAAAGAGGATCCCGATCCTCTCCAATTATTATGATAACTGTTATTTATATAACAATCAAAGATTGCCTGAATCCTTTGATATAAATCATGCTTACTAAGGCTTCATAAAGCAGCTTTTTAGTATAAAAAATTTAATATTTGTACTAAAGATTTTATTTGGGATAATTTTTTTATTGCTTTTGAAGCAATTTTTTAGTACAAATCTACATATACAAGTTACAAATCAGTATGCAGTTACAGAAAAGATGACCTGGAGACCGCCTGAGAAGCAGAAATCCTCATCAAAACACTGATTTTTGGAACACTCAGGGGAATGAAGAAGCTAAATAGATTTCTGTGAAGACTGTTAGAAGTTGCTATACGAATGTACACTGTTATAACTTATAAGATAAATTTTATGAATGCAATCAGGTTACTCATGTACAAAGAATTAGAATGTCAGTAGCTCGTTAGGACCAATGACATGAAGGTTCCTCATATCAAACTGCTATCGAAATATTTTCTGAAGGAATCCTCCTCCTTGCAGTACAAACAAACGACTTTGTAGACTTCAATGAGAAGTTTAGGAAATCTGGTAGAAAAATACTGATCAAATCCTTCAGGGACTGGTCCAAGTATTTCCTGAAATGGTTGCAGGAAGGATATATCAGAATTCTTGAAACAATCAGAGATCAGGCCGGCAAATACAAGCCCAATATAAATACAGAAACTAGCTTTAAAAGAATAATAATAAGGAACGCTAGATATTGTCGGCAGGAAGCTAGCTTGACAATTTATTGGATAGTAAATTTGGCAGTCCATCACGTGGGAAAATTATTGGGTTCGGATACTGTACAGCTTACCGTTTAATACTTTACAGTATTGAGCTCGGTACTGTGAAGTACTGAGTTTGATACTTCATAGTACCAAGCATACTGAGCTCGGTACTGAATAGTAGAGCTCAGTACTACATAGTTTTGAGTTCAATACTGAGTAGAGGGTGATGTGGTGCATTTTCATTGGCTCCGGACGGCGTCCGGTGTCCGAACCCAATAATTTCCCCATCACGTGAGGCTCTACAAGTGATGGAAATCTCTACAAAAATAGAATAGCTTCTTTATTTTTAACATAATTAGTTTTTATAGGTAAAATTATCAAGAGTTACCTAGAATCCTATGGTATGAATAGAGGTGCAAGATCCCAAATGAAATGCAAAAAAAATTTAAATCAACACTCTAGGAGCAGAGGAATCCTGAGTTTTATTTGTGGTTTTCCCTACAGAATCCAAATTATTTCAGCCATCCCTGTCCATAGCCTCCCATATTCAGCGCACTTGTTGTCTGCCAGTTCCACTTGTTGTGCCACTGCAAGGACACTTGCTGTCCGCCACATCCACCCTGAGCTCCATCGCAACTAAAACTATTCTCCACCGCCAATTTTCAAGAGAAATTTTCTTCATTTCTCTTTGAAGAAAATTTCTTCTATATCATAAGTTTATTAACAATCAAATGATCCTTAATTAAACAAATCTTAGTAGATGAGCACTAAGGCTTCAAAATGTTAAAGCAGCTTAAAATATAGAATGACAGGTTTGATTCAGAACGAAATAACAAAACGATATTGAGACAAACCTTGAGTTCTTTCGAAAGTTCCCGATAATGATTTAGCTTGTTTCTTATAACTCGCAGAAGATCACGCAGACAACCGAAATTATATTTTCTATAGCGTCCCATATCATTAATAAAAGCAGCATCTAATTTTTCACCCCACTTTCCGCCAAATGCAGTTGCTCCAACATTTTCTAGTTCTTTAAGAAGTTCTGATTCATTTTCTCTATCTTCTAATTCAATTCTATCACTTATATCACGAAGAAATGATAATCGCATCTCAGAACTCCAAAAGAAAGGATGATGTAATGCTTCTACTGCATTTGGCCTGAAATAATAAAAAATGCAGACTCAGGAGCATATAGGAAAAATAGAGTAATAATAACCCACTTAGACTAGTCAGAACTACATGAGGAAAATATCAGCTCACCTCATTGTTGGCTCAGAGTTCAACAGCTTCAAAAGAAGATCAACAGCTTCAGGTATATGATCTACCAAAAACAGGTCCACACGATTGTTCATAATATTCCCATCCCGTTCGTAATATTTTCCAAATGGATGTTCGCCTTTTGTAATACAAAAGAAAAGAATACAACCCAAACTGAATAAATCAACGGCACGTGTCTGACGCCCACGACGAAGTTGTTCAGGTGCTCGCCAACCAGAGCTTCCATGTCCTATGGAATATCATTAAGTGAAGGAACATGCGGTAATGTGCTGCATATTGATTAAAATGGCTCTTTTGAAATATACAAATCATGGTGATAAAAAATCTGCTTACCAGTAGCATGATGGCTCAAGGAAGACATGTCATCAAGTAGACGCTTACTGATACCCATATCAGAAACCTTTGCCGTGAGAATTTTTCCATCACTTATTAAAACATTTTGAGGTTTTAAATCCCTGTGAATAATTCCAAGTTCATGCAAATGAGCGACACCAGAGACCAGATCCCTGCATCACCAAATACTGATCTTAATTAAGTGAACTGCAGGGAGTTTAAATTAGACATAATAACCATGATAAGAGATAATAAGTTGGCATAGATGAAAGGACTTGAAATATGAAAGCAATGGTAGGCAAAGAAAAATGAATAAATTCTTGGCTATAAGGTATATATATATATACACACTTCTTTCAAGTACAAAATTGATGAAATGAATTGCTCCGTAAAATGAACTTTCATAAATTTAGACTAGGAATGTGTATATAAAATATCCTTCACAAAAACTCATCTATCAGATTTAAAATAGGAATAAAAAAAATCTGATGTCAGATAGATGCTCGCAGTCTCAAAAATAACAACTCTCATCTTGCACTTATTCCACAACCTATATGGCTATGCGCTGGTCAATTTTACATTTATTTTGGTTATCCCTGTTTCATTTTGAAAGAAAATGGAAACCACTTCGTATTGCTTTTTAGTTTTATAAGATATATAAACATGTTTGTTATACTATGTTAAGAATACAGAAACAACTATTTACCATTTATGGAGCTAAAAAACTAAGAAACTTCAGTTGCATCATAAAAATTTTAGATAAATAAAAACATACAGATCTTTCATAATTTTATCTAATTATAATCGTTTTCTTTAGAAAATATTCAAAATAAATAACTTATTGCTATTAATAATTAAATAAAAACTTTATATCCAATAGTTTAATAGTTATTACTTCTATCATGAGATTTAAAATTTGAATTTTTTCTTAATTGATTATTTTTCTTGTTAAAAAAAAAGGTACTAAATCTACATATATACTAAAATAGCGACTAATAAAGAAAATAATTAACTAGCTTAATTCTCTCCTAAATTTTAGGAAATAGAAATATAGGAGAATAATGTATTCCTAAAAATTAGGAAACAAAATCATATGAAAGAATCACAATTGATATTTCCTTTTATTCCTAAAAACACTTTCCAAAAATAAAAAACAGAATTATAGGAAAAGATCACAATTGATCTCTCATTTTATTCCTAAAAATACATTCCTAAAATAAATTCCCTAACTTTGACTTTCAAATATTGAACACTCCCCCTCAAGCTAGAGAACATATTTTATATAATTCAAGCTTACAAAAAAGTTAGATCTGGTTAGAGCTTTGGTGAGGATGCCTGCAATTTGTTGCATGGTAGGAATGTATTTCAATTTAACAGTCTCACTAGTCACCTCTGTGATAAAATGTCTAGCAATTTCAATGTGCTTAGTCCTGTTATGATACACAGGATTCTTAGCTATGCTGATAGCTGTCTGATTATCACACATCATCAAAATAATAAATGAACTCATTTTACCCAGTTCACAAATAAACCTTTTTATTCAAATCCCTTCACAAATTCCCCGCGTTAAAGCTCTATACTCAATTTCTACACTACTTCTGGCTAACCACTGATTTCTTCTTACTCCTCCATGTAATAAGATTATCCCAGACAAAAGAACAATAACCAAAAGTTGATAGTCTGTCAATGACATTTCCTGCCCAATCTGTATATGGATACTCCTCAGTGTCACGATTATGTCTTTCTGAAAAATAGGCAATCCTTATGTCATATTCAAGTATCTAAGAATCTTGTAAACTTCTACCATGTGTTCCTCTATAGGACTGTGCATAAATTGACTTACAATACTCACTGCAAAATCAATATCTAGCCAAGTGTGAGAAAGATAGATCAGACATCCAAGAAGTCTTTGATATCTCCCACTATTTATAAATGTACTTTCTGCCTCGGTGCTAAGTTTCTTCTGTTTGTCCACAGGAGTATCAATAGAGTTGCATCCAAGCTTACCATTAAGAAGATCTAGAATATATTTCCTTTGAGAAACAACAATGTCGTTTCTTGATTTAGTCACTTCTATTCCAACCTATGTTCACTGATACGGATACGGCGACACGGATACGATACGATACGGATACGGGACAAGTCAATTCTTAAAAATATAGGATATGGGTACAGCGCGGACACGGCATTATAATTAATAAATCATACAGAATAGTTAGAAAAGCAATCAAAGCATAATATTTGAAATTACAAAAAAAAAAAAAAAACATTTGTAGTCTTGTAAAAAAAATGACAACATCATTTGTAGCCTTGTAGCTTATATATCAAAATATAAGTAAGCATTAAATGTCTTGTAAAATAACAAAAACATAAACATAAATTGTCTAGCACATGAAGTTTCAACTATTCAATAGAAGGAATGATATGATTAGCTTCTTCAGTGCTTTGTCTTTGAACTTCTATATCATCTTCAATAAATATCATAGCTTCTAATTCAGGCTCATCAAGTAAAGGATTAGCAATTTATAATATTCCCATATCATCAAGAGACTCAAATCCATCTCAGAAATGAGAGGAACCTTGCTTGCAGCCATGGAAGTAAATACGACGCATCTTTTTTTTTTCGGATTTTTTTTTGTTTTTCAATAGACACGAGTATCGGATACGCGTGTCCTTTTGAAATTAAATAGTATTTTAATTGGATACGTCTTTGGCGTATCCAACACGTATCGGTGGTGTATCGGAGGCGTATCTGTGTATCGGTGTATCAGATACAACACACCTTCATAAATAGGTGTATCTGTGCAACATAGATTCCAACGAAATATTTAAGATTTTCAAGAACTTTAATTTCAAACTCTTAAGACAAATACTTCTTCAAATTTTGTAATTCCTCCACATCATTCCCATAGAATAATATCATCGACATAGACTATCAATATCGCAATTTTTCCAGCATAAGATTTCTTGACAAACATAATATGATCAACTTGACGCTGTATGTAGCCCACTTCAAAACAGCCTTTATGAATCTATCAAACTAGGCTCATGAAGATTGTTTAAGGTCGTATAAGGACTTCTTGAGTTTGCAAACTTGATTCTTTGCCATACCTTTTTCAAAACCAGGTGGGATTTCCATGTAGACTTCCTCTTCGAGGTCATCATTTAGAAAGACATTTTTTATGTTCAATTGTTGCAAGTACTAATATTGGTTAACCAATGAGAGAAGAATTTTGATAGTGTTAAGCTTTCTGACAGAAGCAAAAGTTTCTTGATAGTCTATCTCATAGGATTGTGTAAATCCTCTGGATACCAACTGATCCATCTGTTTTATACTTTATAGTGAAAATCCACTTGCACCCCATGGGTCTTTTTTGAGCTGGCAACTTAGTAATAATCCATGTTCCATTCTTCTTAAGTGCATTAATCTCATCTTGTACTGCCTTCTTCCACTCTGAATTTTGTAATGCCTCTTGTAATGTGCTCGGAACTTGGATATCATCAAGAGAAATGGCAAATGCTCTGTAAGATGGTGATAGCGCTTCATAAGTAACAAAATTCTCAATTGGATAACTTGTAAATTTCCTAACACCCTTCCTCAATGCAATTGACATGGAAGTCATCAATGATATCTCCAACCTTATTCATACCTATTTTTTCTTCAGATGAATTTGAAATTGCGTCCATATCTTGGTCACATGCTTGCTATGATTCGTGCTCTAGCTCCTCTCTTTTCCTCCTCCTGATACAAACTTGAAAATTCTCATTAGCATGTTGTGGAGCCACAGATTTAGCAAGCATGGGAGAAGTTATGGGTTGGACTGATGATTAAGCATGCATGGATGTGTACAAGTCTTGTGTACAGGGGCCTTTGGGCATAAGCATGGGTTGAGAAAAACATAGTGACTCAAAGTGGGCAAAGAGCATAGACTCGAGAAAGAACACCCAAACTTGATGTTCATTCATACTCTCCCCTTAAACATGAGATTTGGCATAAAAGAGCACATGCTCAACGAAAGAGACATTCATGGTGGTGTAAAATATTTTGTTGATTGGAGAATAACATTTGTACCATTTTTGAGTTGGAGAGTATCCTAGAAAAATACACTTATTGGCTCTAGGATTAAATTTGCTACGGTGTTGAAGATACACATGAACAAATGCCATGTAATCAAATACCTTGAGTGGTAAATCAGATGAAGCTGCACGGGTCAGAAAAATTTTAAGAAGAAATTGACATGGTGATAGAAAATTAAGGACTTTGGATGGCATACAATTGATCAAATAGATAGCTGTGAGAATAGCGTCCCCCCAAAAATGATTCGGAACATTAGAAGAAAACATAAAACATTAGGCAACCTCCAAGAGATGTCTATTCTTGCGCTTAGTCACTTCATTTTGTTAAGGGGTGTTAATGCAAAAAACTTATATGGATAAAATCTCATGGATCTGAAGATAGGTATTGAGACTATTAGTAAAGTCTTCCCTAACATTGTATGACTTGAATACCTGAATTCTAGAGTTGAATTAATTTTGAACCATAAAATTAAAGGTTTGAAAAATTTGTCTAACCTTAAACCTTTCTTTCATAAGGAAAACCCAAATTACCCTTGTATGATCATCAACAAATGTTGCAAACCATCGAGTGCCCGAAATATTTTTATTGTTGATGGACTCCACACATCATTATAGATCAAAGAAAAGGTAATTGAAGGTTTTAATGGAATAAGAGGATATACGGTTTAATTATACTTTGCAATCTGACAAGTTTCACAATGAAAAGATGCAGGAATTTTATTAACTTGGGAAATAATTTTGAAAGATACACAAAACTAGGATGACCAAGCCGATAGTGTAATAATATAATTTCACTATCTTTGTTGATATTGGAAGTTGACACAATCGAAATATTCTAATAGACTCTGAAATTAGATGCAACTTGCTTGCGAAACTTGATTTGAGGATCGCTTCATTATCAATCCAAATTTCACAACTTATTTTTGAAGAAAATTAAGGAACAAACGAATTAAAATATTTATTTGTGCCCAAGCACACTTTTTTAGATGGAAAAACATCAACCAAATAAATTAGGCCAACCAGCTTCAATATATAACATTTGTTTAATAGATGGATAAATCAGATAAAACACATCAAAATCATTAGTTTGTGGTCCAACAAGTCAAATAGACTAAAACTAATAGATACTTTACTTAATAGGTTCCTAAATTTTTATGGAAGTTACAATGAAGTACCAGCCCTCAAAATCTGTAAACAGACAGCCAAGGTTTCTAAACCTTTAGAAGCTATAAGAAAGTTACAAGTTAGCCTTTCCAAGAGAAAATCCATATAACCATGTAGACCTTGCTTTCCACGCACGAAATAGATTTCCTCAAGTACATAAAAATAGAACGCACAAACATGAAGTACTATAAGCTAGGATAGAAATAGCACTTATAGTAAAGCAAAATTTTGATGATTTCTAATGAAAACAAAGGAGGATATATTTTGACATACCTCATTAGTTTGAGAAGTTGGGGTGAAGGAAGCCCATTTGATCTCCACAACTGAATATCTCTGCCTACACCTTTTATGGTGGGCAAGATGATCTTGTGCTCCTTTGTATAACTTGAATTCATATAATCACCACTGTTTGTGGGGGAAGGACAATCTGTGTCAAGCTGGATTAGATCACTTAGGCTAGAAATGCAGCGCTCTAGTGATATATAAACAAAATCCAGGTCTTGCTCTACTCCATACCACCTAACAATATTTGGGTGTCGATCAGAAGCAATAAGATTCTGAATTTCTTTAAAAGCTATATCATGATGAGCACGCAAAAGACGTTTGACAGCAACTGCACGACCATCATAGACCCCTTCAAAGACAACCGTGCCATTGCTTCCTCGGCCAATTACAGTATTTGACACAAAAAGTTTGCCAACACATCTTCCTTCACCAACACCATTGCCTCTTAAAAGGTTCATTAAGTTTGAATCACTGTTTTGGATGCTAGAATGCTCGTTAGTTTCAGCATAATGCTTTCCAGATGCAATTATGCTGTCATGATTGGTTGCAACTGAACTACTCTTCACGTTGACAGCTTTCCGAGCCTTTTTCTTCTTAGGAGCGAGTGAAGGTTTCATTCTATTAATTAATTTCCTATCAGATTTGGTCGGTTCTTTTCTTTTCCAAAAATACATAACAAACATGAGAACTATGGGAAGGGCGATAAAAATTAGAAAAAGCCCCGTTTCAAGAAGTCTAGTTTTAAGGTTCCATTGAATGCCACGATCCTCATCCAGTTTCAAATTATCAGCAATCATGAAAGAATCCTCTGGCGTACCCAAATCATTTTCAAATAGGCCATTTGTGAAACGATTCAGTTGGGGTTGTAAGACTGCAACTTCATTAAATATTTCACTTTCAAAAGGTTTATACATAACACAGTTTCCATATGAACATTCATTCGCATCTTTAAATGAGTCACCAAAAGCATAACAATGAAAGTTTTCCAGCCCTTGTAGATTCTGGTCACTACCTGTAGTTTCATGTACAATTTGCGGCATGCCAAATTGTTTTTGGTAAATATTTTGTGCATCTGCAGCAAAATTGTTAGGGAAATTAGATGCTGATGGTAGCATTGGAACGCCAGAACCTGCCATTAGTGCATTATTCATCTTGCGCAGGAAGTACACTGGAATATCCTTTTGAGATGTGTACATCAAATTAAGGTCATCAACAGCCTTGTTGGGTATCTCATTGTTAACATATGTGGCACTTATACGAGATTCCATCATATTCCACTTAGGCTTTCCAAGAACTGATGAGTTCAAATAATAATCTGTTCTAACCATGATAATGTAATTGCTTGCTCTTTTGCCCATCTCCAGCTTAGATGAAACTAGTTTATTCCCAAACTTTGGAGAAGAAATGCCAGGACGATTAGAGAGTGTTTGGTCTTTATGCAGTTCCTCTCCACTATCGGCATCGAGAAGATACATAGTAGCCATTTTTGAACCAATAGTTATCTCAGTACCTTGTATCTCTGGTGTATTGTGCACATATTCCTCAATTGTCAAATTAAGTTTCTACATCAAAGAAAAGTACACACAAGAATAAAGTCATCTAAGACCGTAATTAAAATAAATGCTTTTAAACTCTACATAAAACATACCCTGAACCCACTACCCGTACAGTACTCATAGAGGTTCCAATCTTCACCTGAATATAAAAAGCACCCACTGTTATTAATTTCTGAAATAACCTGTTCTGAATATGAGAGTGCAGAACCCGTCTGAAATGACCATTGTATCCCAGTTTTGCAGTCCACTGATAAAATAGTTCCATCCAATGATGCAAGAAGAAATCTACCAGGTTCACTGCTTAAAAAAGAAAGATATTGTTCTTATTATGGAGAAAGATGTACTACCATAATGAACAAAAAGTACAACACAAATATATATTTCCTGATTAAATTTTATGCAGATAACTGCAACTTACCTTGCGACACAATTTGAATAAAAGCAGCAGAAATTTACTTAGAATCAACTAAGGATACAATGCTATATAATGAAAAACATATAAATAACAAAATCTGTGATAGTGTTCTGGTGTATGGCTGCTATAATTGCAAAATGGAGATCCACTAAAAATTCAAATATGAGTGAGCAAACTCAATATAAAATACATCACAAGGAACCACCAAAGAATATAAGAAACAAACGTACATGTTGCACAAAAAAAAAGAGTTTTTCTCTTTTATTTTTATTTTACTCAAGGTATCAGAACTTGCATTTCGACAAATATATTTTCTCAAAGGCAAATTACCCAATCAATTAAGTAATAGGTATATAACAAAAAGTTACTATTGCAAGTGACATTAAATACAATTTCATTCATATCATGACCGTCAGGAGAATGTCAGAGATCATTTCAAAGAAATAGAAAGAGATCTACATAGATTAAGGGGTTATTTTTTGAAGATCAAACATATTTCCATGAATTACTCTGGTTAGAATTTCTGCTTTAAAATTCAATAGATTTCTTGATTATTTATCTGTAATACTAATTTTCAATGACTAACTTTGCGTGGATATATCAGGTTTTGATGATTCAAGCATTTTGATGGATTCCTTCTGAGATGCAAAATATAGTGTGGTCATTATCTCCAATGATCATAATTGTACAGTAAATTGATTGGATTATTATGTTGCTTATATACATTTATGATATAATTGTATATACATCATTTAATACTTAATTTTGATCTTTACGCAAGATACTCCATGCATTTCAAGTGCATGGTTGTTAGGTATAGTAGATTGAATGGATTTGTAGATCATATACATTTACAATATCATTGTATATGCATCATTTAATACTTAATTGTTGGTCTGTACATAAGATCCTATATGCATTCAAATGTATGATTGTTAGGTGCATGAAGCAGAAAATAATTAAGATGTTAACCTTATGGCGTTAAGACCATATGCATGGTATGCACACATAGTAGTAAAAGAGAAAATATTTGGATGTTTTTGGTTCCATCATCAAAAGGGTATCCAGACAAGAGAAGATAAGCTTTCATTTGGAGGATGAAAGTGCCGCTCCTACAATAAGTAGGAAGTGCATGAGGAAATCATGCTTCATTTACATGTTGGGAGTACCATAAACTCACGGTAAAACAAAATTTGTTGTTGTACTTCCCTTATGGGCATGCTAGTTTTATGCTTATGGTGATTATAGAGTTGTAAGAATACTTAACATGTGATTTCTACTGTGGAAGCGAGTAGTATAGCTAGTGATTCCTTGGATGAATAGAAAGTAATGTTGTTGAGGAAGCAAGGTACTTGCCATGGTGGCTGACTAAGAAAAGGTAGGTTCGTATCGCCCCTTGTATGTCTCAGTTGCTAAGACACAAGACATGAAACGAGCTTCTTACCTTGATTAGAAAGATGAGTGCTAAAATTTTAAATAATAAAGATGACATGATTTTTTACAATAAAAATCTGACATGTGTGAAGTGAAAGAACATCAAAAGTTGAAAAAAAGACATGCCTGAGAATAGGGGTGTCAGTATTTGACACAACCCGAAAATCCGACTCGAACCCGACCCAAAAATTTTGGGTTAGGGTCAACCCGAACTCGAAATGGGTCGGATTCAGGTTCAACATTTCGACCCATTTAAAAAATCGGGTCGGGTTCGGGTTGACCCTTTGACCTAAAATTGACCCATTTTGACCCGACAACCCGAGATTGACCTATTTTTACTCGAAAAGCAGAGATTGGCCAGTTTTTTGACTAGAAAACTAGCAGTTTTTATTGGCACCGGGTCAATTGAGTCTTGTCGGGTTGACCCGAACCCAAAGCGGGTCAGGTTCGGGTCCGAAAAATTGACCCGTTTTCAAAAACGGGTCGGGTTCGGGTTGACCCGAATAGTGACGGCTCAATTTCGAGTTCAACCGGAGCCCGACCCGTGACCCAAAATTGACACCCCTACCTGAGAAAAAGGTAAATCAAAGTCGCAGTAAGAGCTTCCAACATCAAAGTATTGAATTGAGGGGAAGAAGAGGATGGGCTCAAAAATATAAAGAATAAATCATAACTTATAAATTAAGAGATGGAGAAGAAAATATAAAAAATTATAGAGATGGAATGATAATAGTTAATATTAAAATAATTTAAGGTTTTCCATTTACAAACTACTAAATTAAACATGCCTTTTGGGTACATTGCTTAAGATTATCGACTTTGAAAGAGCTTAAAATTTGAAATGCAAAAAAAAAAAAAACTTGAAAATTTATTATGTAACCCACCATAATTTATTGCCATGAATAGTATTTTTATGCCCTTCAAAAGTCTTCTTAATAATTTAAATTTGTTGATCAAGTAAAATAGTTATTTTTTCAACTTATGCAAGTGCCCAGCATCTCAAGCATTGGTTATTCATATCACCTTAAGGACACCTAATACTTTTAATAACATTGCTAACAATTAAGACATGATGGGATTGATTCATTATAGACTCGAGTTGGTAATGTGTGTTGATGTTTTTTTCGTGTCGACTCGACCCAAATCGAGTCAAATCGGACCTGATCGGGTTCGATTGAACCCGATCAATTAAATCGAGCCCATCAAACCCTAAATCGACTAAAATCGGCGCCGATTCGAGTTCAACTTCATCAAATTGACTCGATCGAGTCAAATCGGACTCAAATCGATCCAAATAGAGTCTAATTCGAGCTCAATTTAATTCCAATTGGTTCAATTAAAGTCCAATTGACTTTCTAACTCAATCCAAATGCTTTCAAAATCAAGAAACTCAAATCGATGGCCCTGATCTTCTTGATCTTGGTTGTCTATGCGCTGCTCTTCGAACAAATCATGTAGAAAACTTCGAGCTCAGGCAATCCTTCTAAATCCGTAAAATCAAGTGTCTTTGGGCATTCAAACACCTTCCTTTCCTGTGTGCCTTCCCAATTAGTGTGTCTAGTGGGTTTTGAAACTCCCAACCGTTCGGGACCTCAGCCCTCTTGCGTACGTGAGACAAAGAGCGAGACGAAACATAACTCGCAAGCTATAAATAGGAGAAGAGATGGGGGACATAGCTCGCAAGCTATTCCCAAAGAAGGAAAAACCCTCAGGTTTTCTTACTCCAAAAATCAACACACAACAACCTTTTTCATTCCAAAACATCTCCAATTTATAAGTAAAAGAAAGAAGTCAAACAGCCATTCCACCTCCAACCAAAGCCAATTAGGTTTGGGGAAATGAAAGGCCAAAAGACACCACAACAGCTCCCAAAATCTGCACAGAAAACAGGAAGGAAAGCCACGGGAAACACAGCCAGGGAGCCACGGGAAAGCAGCCAAAGAGGGACTCGAGGAGCCAACACAGGAAACGGGACAGAGGAGTCACGGGAAAGCAGCCAGGGAGAAAACCAAAAAGACAATCAGCCCACAACAATTACTTACGAGGAAGAAACCAATGAGACACAAGAATGAGAAGAAACAAGCTCCACTCCACATAACTTTATGAATTTATGAGCTAGGAAGTGCAATTACTCCTCCAAATATTGAAATAAACTTCAGCTCAAGCATTAATGAACTAGAACCAAGTAGAACCCAACCTTTTAGCTCTAAACCAAACAACCAAGGCCCAAACCGAGAGCATCCAATGCCCAAACCAAAATACAGCAAACAGCCCAAAGGACAAAAAGGACCAAGTTGCTTTGACACCCCCCCCCCTTGCCTATATCAAATAGCATCATATTGCATTTCAACACCGTCACCTAAGATCAAAACCTAGACTAGGTGAAATTGTATGATGTCAAATCGACTGTTGAGGTGTAAATTCTCTCTAAATATTGCATGCTATGTCTCTTTCTCCTAAAATTATGTGTCACGTCAAAATTGGCATAAAGTGTGAGAACTTGCATTAGCAAAGAGATTGTGAATATTTCTAAAAACTTTGTTGAATAACGGAAATGCATTTAACATTGTTTAAAAGAATACACTAATAGCTTGTCATAGGATTTTACATTAATCCCCAAGAATTCATTTTTATAAATCCTAGGACAAAGAGAACCAATCAAACTCATTTTGGGTATGTTGCAAAGCTTGTAGAAAGAATAATAAGAGATCAATTGCTCTATTGTGCGAAATCCCTAAAATTGGAAACTTGCCTCCATTCTTTTAATGAACCAAATCATGTTAAAATTGATTGGAATATTCTCTAATCCTTAGATGTGTGTTTCCTATTTTAACATGAATCAAAACACATGCATGTTGTGGGTCATTTGCTAACTTGTAGTTTACCTAAAGTTTGCAAATTTACAAGTATACTCAATTAATTTCTAAATGCTTGTAAAGCAAAGGTGGCGTATTCCATGGCTTTCAGAGGCTTATAGATCATACCCCACCATACATTAAAATTATCTAAGCATGATTAGTGCAATTTGCAAATTGAAAGGTTGAGTGCAATGACATTTAACTTAAGTATATGATTGCGGTGCCATTTGGCGACAAAACCGCCAGTTAGAGGACACGCACCACGTCTTTACTGGCAGGAGATTGTTTGAGAATGGATCCTAATGATATTTTCGACCAAGCATTTGGCTCTATGTGAGCTGAAGTAAATTTTAAATTGTCCACCTCAGCAAACTATTGCGGAGAAAATTCTTATTTTTAAAATTATTAATACCACATCCTTACTGGCATGAGATTGTTTGAGAATGGATCCTACTGATATTTTCGACCAGGCATTTGACTCTATGTGAGCTGAAGTAAATTTTAATTTTTTCACCCCAGCAAACTATTGCAGATGGTGGATTACAAGGTCCTCTTGGACGAAGCAACCCATGGTTGCCGACAAGGATCCT